GAGAGAGAGAGAGAGAGAGAGAGAGAGAGAGAGAGAGAGAGAGAGAGAAGAAAAGAAAATGTTGTGCCAGGTTCAAGGAGTCCCATACCAATCCCAGGAGTAGACACTGATGCAAAAGCAAAAGGTTTGTTTTTATTGTTCAAGCTGGCCAGCTTGGATCTCACTCCATGGTGGGGAAATGAGACGCCAACAAGCCAAAGAGAGAAGCTTTTAAAGGAGCAGACCGTAAGGTTGAAGTAACTTAACGAAACGTCTCAAACTTTTTTAAAAAGTGAATAAAGGCATAGCTCAGTGCACGAGACTCAATCACCAGCATCAGAAAGAAGAAAAGTGTTTAACTTGGGCTGGGGATGTGGCTCCAGGTCCTACAGAGAGAACTTTGTTGTGAACTTCACAAGCACTTCAGAGACAGTGTCACCCCTAACCCTAGACTCACATATACATCAATATGCATCATTCAGTATATTCAGGTATAGGTATGTGTATGAAAAAGAGCAGGTGGTTAATATATATTATATATGTTTTTTTGGGGGGGGTGTTGGAGGCAGGATTTCTTTGTGGCTTTGGAGGCTGTCCTGGAACTAGCTCTTGTAGACTAGGCTGGTCTCAAACTCACACAGATCTGCCTGCCTCTGCCTCCTGAGTGCTGGGATATAAGGTGTTTGCCACCACCACCTGGCTTATATATAAAATTTTTTAAAAAGAGAGGCAATAAGGAAAATAGTCCTAGCCCCGGATTCCCCACATTTTACTTGTTTGCCTTCACACTATCAGCTATGAAGACAGGAGCTTAGTCTTGCTCTGTAAGGGCAGATCAAACATATAAAATCCATAACACAATTCCATCAAATACGAGACCTAAATTAAGTACCTCTGGAGTTAGGATGGGAGACATTACTGATGTCAGAGGTGCTCAGATTGGCTGGGCTGCAAGAGGACATCTTGGGCTGACTTCCAGACTAAAGCAGATTTCCATACTGGAAGGAGGGGTGAAATCTAAACACCATGGAAAGCACAAGCACAGAAGAATTGAAGAAAGCATGCCTGACCAAGTACTGGCCCTGTTAGCAGGGTACATTTAAATAGGACAGATTAGCAGAGGTCAGTTTCTACAGAACTTGGCACAGTAGTCTAATGAGATCTGACTCAGGGGAATTTTACCCCAAGACACTGAAGCATTAGAACTCTTTTACTGTTAGTCTCAATTGTTTTACTCAGTGGCTTTCTCATTTGACAGTTGAAAGCTTTCTTGTGTTGCTGGTGACCAAACTCAAAGCCTTGCATGTAGTAAGTTCTACCACTGAGAAAAACTGAAATATATGAACATTCAGATGATGTACTGATATGCATGTAAAAATCATTTTTAAATACTACTTAATGATATGGAGACACGCTTCCTGTTGTGTAAAATACAAGCAGGATATAGATTCAAACAATAAAAGTCTTCAAAAGAAGTTAACATTGGTTCTTTCCAAATGATGAAGATGCTATTTATTTTCTTTCCTGCAGATACTCAGTAGTCTCCAAATTTTCTACCAGGGGTGTACACAATTGTTGAAACTTGTGTGTGGGGGGGAGTAAGAAGTGTTAAATTCAGCAATTTCCTGGGCATGGTGGCTGCATGTAATCGAACCACTTAGACTGAAGCAAGAGGATCAGGAATTTAAGGTCAGACTGGGCTCTCTGAGACAATGGAAACAAAGCACACAAACAAATGAAAGCCCAAGAAAATTTCAGCAACTAGCCCAAATATCTCAAATCCCAGGTAACTCTAACTCTGACCTTGGGATCCACTCTCCTAATACTTAAAATTGTCTGCCATCAAACAATTATAAACTGTACCAGAAACACCCACATAAGGCATATCCTCCAACAAGAACTTTATAGAAATACAATGTTATAAATTATTAAACAGGAAGGTCAAGACTGTATAGCAATGTGTTCCTTGTGTGAACACATTTTCTTCATTCTTTCCTTGGGGCTTCATTGCTGAATAAATGGCCCTTATCGGGTGCTGACTTTTGCACTAGTTCTTGCTGACGTTAAGTCTTCATGATACTGACACAGGAAAGGGTAAACTGCCTATCACAAGTGCAAACTTCCCTCCCAGATTGCTACAAGTCTTATTGTGAAGAGCCCATTACACCTATGCCCAGCTAACTACTAACTGGCTGGGGACCATGGAGTCTGAACCTCAGTTTCTTCCCTTTCTGGGGATTAATGGGTGAAGGCAGAGACATCCCACCAAAAGGTTATTTCTACTTCACTTTTACAGGACCCCAGGGGAGTCTACACACGCAGTCATCCACAGGCAGGTTAGGCGAACGGCCCCTAGGCGAGAAGCCCCCACAGAAGGCGGGGGAAAATATCGATTCTGCTCAAGTCCCAGCTCCCCCAGGTCACGGTGTCCCCCTCCGACCACCGAGTTAGCGCCGGGGAGGCGGGATGTGGTTGGGTCCCCAAAACAGGGAAAGGATCCTCACCCGCTTTGCTCACCCCTAAAAGCTGACAGCCTCAAGTTCAACGATGGCCAGGGTTTATGCGAATCCCTGGGAGCCACTTCCACCCCAAGTCCTACGGCAAACTACTGCCAACACCAGCAACTCACCAGGGGTCCGGGGCCATGGTGCAGTCTCCGCCTGCAGCTGGGACACTTCCTGCTCACAGCCTGCTGCCCCCGGCGGCCCGCGCGGCTCATTCCCCGCAGTTCGGAAGGTGCGCGACCCGAGCCCAGCGGACAGCACAGAAAACATATTTTAGGGGCCTCAAAACCACACCAACCAAAGCTCACCCCTGGGAGACAGTGGATTGCAACAATCGATTTTTAGTTAATTCGTACGAACTGCTGGACGCAAGGAAAATGGTTAAATTGTTGAGCAGAATCAAAACCTTTTCCCAGGGATGGAAGCGCTTCAGACTCCGGCTCTCGTAGTTCTTCGCATTTTTTTTTTTTCTTTTTTTCTGATTCAAAAACAACAGAGCAAGCCGGCTGTGATACCTCGCGCCTGAATTTGCCGTGCTTGGAAGGTTGAAGCCGGAAATATTCATACAAGCAACGTTCATAGTGATACATACATGAAAATAGTTGCATACTGTACTTAAATTTTTAAAGTGATCTTTTCAAAAAGAATTCTTTTACAAGGAGGTATCAATTCCGTGTTTTGTTTTGTTTTGTTTTTTAATAGCAGCCTACGCATCAGAGGCAATTCTCTGTGTTCAATTACTTTTAATAGTTACCATAAGAGGCTTAATTTTATAGTTAAGACAAAAGTCAGAGTTTACACGGGAGACGAGGGAATTCATTCTGCATATTCAGTATTCACCTAACACCTAAATTTCTAGAATGAGTGAAAAAAATAATAAGGAAGCCCTCCCTACATTTACAAAAAGGTAAATAAAGTCGAACTCAGTGGGCTGGATTTCTGCTCCAGCGTAAACCTAGCACGCATGCGTGCGCCAGTTACCATAACGACCAAAAGACGCTGCAGCCAGGAGTTGAGGAATCAATGAGTTGAAATTCTCCAAGATGGAAGAACAAAATTTACCCGAAACCGAGACCGACGTAGCCGAACTGGAGCTTGAGGCTGTGATCGGCTTCAATGGTGAGGCCTGGAGCATCCATAATGGCAGAGGGACAAGTGAGACACTGACTTGGCAGCACCTGAGAGGCCGTGGGGACAGTGGCAAGAGCCTAGCCAGGCATCACCCACGGTGATGAAGGATCTTAGCCTCATTCCCGAGCCTCAGAAATTGGAATGTGCCTAACCACCCAACCTGGGGCAAACAAACAAACAAACAAACAAACAAAAAAACACCTTTCCACACCCCTTGCTGATCTACAGTTGAGAAAGGCCTTAGGTGGAACTGCTCTAGGGGTGCTCTGTGTCCTCTGTCCCAAGTAAAGACTCTCAAAGGTTTAAAAGACAGGGATGGGAGGGAAGAGGAG